CTGGCGGCTGGGGCGCCGACTGCACGAAGTGAAAACTATTGTCGAGAATCCCCCGCGATCGCCATCCTCCCCGCCGCAGTTGGCTCTGTTCCCAGCAGATCGACGGTGGAATCTGGAAGGATCACCGCTGAACTGTCGCCAACGCCTGCGGGACATCATAGGCCCATGCCGAGAAACGCCACCGTGTCGTACACCTCGCGGTCAACATGTCCAAAGCAGGCGGAAAAGATCGAGTCCTTGCACGTCTCCGCGCGGTGTCGGAGCTGCGCTCGGTGCCAAGGGCGACGGAGGAGGCGGCACAGCGGGAGAAGCCGTCATCGGACACAAACCACCCCATTGATGAAAACTACATGCAGCCTCCGATGCACCAAACGCTGGGAATAGATCGTAATTGCTGCCGTCCTTCGTCACGACATGTCTGACTGTACCCAGGCCAGCGTCAGTTGGATGAGCCGTAGCTCCTGGAATACGAAGTGCATGATCAGCAGCGCATGGCACCGTCCTGCATGATCGCATGGCCGCGACGCTGGATGCTCTGATCGAACGTGCTGAGCAAGTGCAGGTGGCTGTTTTTGTTGATCGGCAATAACCTGGGTAATCCTGGGAGGGGGGGGTCGAGGAGCCGACCGACATTCTAACCTTCGCGCTGTGGGCAGTCCCGCATATGCCCGCGCGCACCAGGACTGCGGCCCCTACAACTGCTAACAAGGTTACGACGATGCTACTATTCGTGCTGCGACGATGCAGGCGCCGCGTGGGAATACCTCAGGATATGTCTGGACAGCTCAACCGACGGGGTGAAATTATCTGGGGGGGGGGCAAGCCCGATGACCCAGATTATCGCCAGACCCTTAAAAAAAAACTCCAACCATCCTCGGGGCTGCCTTGCTGCCCTGTCAGCAACATCCAACCCCAGCCTGATAGACCAGGACTGAACCACTGATCCTGCGCCCTCCTCCTCAGCGCCTGGAACCAATTCAGCACAACATCTACGCTCTCGTGCGGCTGGAACGAAAAAGCCCTCCTCGGTGCCACAGCTCTGAGCGCCTCCAGGCGGGCTTCCAGTGCACGGTTCCGAGCAAGCCTGCAAAGCAGCAGCACAAGGCCCGTGGCTTGTCCCGGGGCGGGACCATCACTCAAGTCCAGCGTCTGACCCAGTTGAAGCGTCTGGGCATCGAGTTCGTCAGCACTGGCAGCACCACCCCATCGCAGCACAGCTGCAGCGCCTTGGGCTTGCTCCGGATTCTGCTTCGCAGTACTCCAGAGGGTGATATCACGAAGCCACCGTCGGAATGGAGACCTCGAACTCCATTATATGCACAATGCCGGAGGCACCTTCAGACTGCTCATGATCTGGGCCTGATCCACGAAAATGAGATTGTCCGACATCTTTGAACAACTCTAAAAAAGGTTCAAACAAAAAATGATGATGATGATGATGATGATGATGATGATGATGATGATGATGATGATGATGATGATGATGATGATGATGATGATGATGATGATGATGATGATGATGATGATGATGATGATGATGATGATGATGATGATGATGATGATGATGATGATGATGATGATGATGATGATGATGATGATGATGATGATGATGATGATGATGATGATGATGATGATGATGATGATGATGATGATGATGGTGATGATGATGATGATGATGATGATGATGATGATATCTCATTAGCTGAAAGCACGTCTCCGTGCTGACGATAAGCTCGACACCACACCTTGACAACATGGGCGAGAGCGAGAGAGAGATCAATCAATCAATCAATCAATCAATCAATCAATCAATCGCAGAATGCGCAGTGGGAACACCCGTCAGCGGACCGATACCTCTTCGCCAAGGTTGAATTGACGGTCAGGCGGCAGCCTCGGGAGTAAGAAAATGTTTTCCACGCAGGGCAAGACCGCCCAAGATCACAAACAGTACAATAACGTATGGCTGGCCACCTGCGAGCCCAGTCGACAGCAGGCAGGCAGGCACGCACGCACGCACGCACGAACGCACGAATCCACGCACGCACGCACGCACGAACACACACACACACACACACAAAAAAAAAAACACACACACACACACACACACACACACACACACACACGTACACACACTCTTACACGCACAGCCTATACTTCGACTGTGAACAGAGAGAAGAAGGGAAAAGAGGAACGGGACGAGGAGAAGGAGAAGGATGAGGAGGAGAAAGAGAAGGAGGAGGAGGAGGAGAAGGAGGAGAAGGACAGGGAGGAGGAGAATAGGGAGCAGAAGGAGGAGGAGCGAGGAGGAGGAGGGGAGATGAAGAGTAGGAGGAGGACGAGGAGGAGGATGAGGATAGAGTGGAGAAGGGGGATGGGGGAGAGGAGGAGAAGAGTGAGGAGGAGTAATTAGGAGGAGAAGAAGGGGAAAGGAGAGGACAGGGAGGAGGAGAGGAGGGGAACAGAGAGCAGGAGGAATACGAGGGAAGAGGAGGAGGAGGAGGAGGATAGAAGAGAAGGGGGGAAGGGGGAGAAGGGAGAGAAGAAGGAGGAGGAGGTTGAGAAGGCAACAGGCATCACACCTAAGGTTAGTCTAACGTTACAGCAGGAGGACGAGGAGGAGGAAGAGGAGAAGGAGGAGGAGAAGCAGCAGCAGCAGCAGCAGCAGGAGGAGGCGGAGGAGGCGGAGGAGGAGGAGGAGGAGGAGGAGGAGGAGGAGGAGGAGGAGGAGGAGGAGGAGGAGGAGGAGGAGGAGGAGGAGGAGGGAGGAGGAGGAGGAGGAAGAGGAGGAAGAGGAGGAGGGAGGAGGCCCTCTGATCCTGGAGAGAGCGTGATCCACCGCCGCTTTCCTGTGGAAAAATTCCCCCCCTTCTTCCTCCGGAACCCGGGGGTCCCCCCCCCTCCGAAAATCCCCCCCCCTGCTGGAACCCCCCCCAACCCCCCTTTTTTCCAGCAAACCCCCCCCCCTCCCCGAACCCCCCCACCCCCCGCCCCCTCGGAAAACCGGGGGGGTCACTACCGGTTCGAACCCCCCCCCCTCCAGAAAACCGGGGGGGGCCACTACCGGTTCGAACCCCCCCCCCCCCCGAAAACAAGGAAGGTCACTACGGAGACCCCCTTCAGAAACTGGGGGGTGTCACTACTGGTTCGAACCCCCCCACACCCCCCTCTCGAAAAACCGGGGGGGGGGTCACTACCGATTCAACCCCCCCCTCGAAACCAGGAGGGGTCACTACCGCGTTCGAACGCCCCCCCCTCGAAAACCGAGGGGGGTCACTACCGGTTCGACCCATCCCCCCCCCACGCTCACCGCCAGCAAACGACTCCCGAGTCCCTACCACCGTCCGCACCACATCCCCACTGCTGTCCCCAGCACAACTGTCCTCACCACCACTGTCCCCACTGTTCCCACCACCGTCCCCACTGTCCCCACCAGTGCCCCCACCACTGTCGCACTGTCCCCACTGTCCCCACCACTGTCCCCCCTGTGCCTCTGTCCCATTATCCCACCGCCGTCCTCGCCACCGCCCTCACCACTGTCCCCACCACCACTGTACCCTCCACTGTCCCACTGTTTCCACCACATTCCCACTGTCCTCACATCACTGTCCCCACCACCACCGTCCCCACCACTGTCCCCACTGTTCCCACCATTGTCCCGGCTGTCCCCACCAGTGCCCCCACCAGTGTCTCACTGTCACCACTCTCCCCACCATTGTCTCACCACGGTCCCACTCTCCCCACTTTCCCCGCGGTCCCCACCACTGTCCCACTGTCCCCACTGTACCCACTACTGTCCCACTGTTCCCGCCGCTGTCCCACTGTGCTGTCCCACCGTCCCCCCTGTTCCCATCACTGTCCCACTGTCCCCACTGTCCCCACCACTTGCCCCACTGTACTACTATCCCACCACTGTCCTCACCACCGCCTTCACCACTGTCCCCACCACTACCGTCCCCACCACTGTCCCACTGTCCCCACCACTGTCCCGCTATCCCCTCACCACTGTCCCCACCACCACCGTCCCCACCACCGTCCGCACCACTGTCCCACTGTCCCCGCACCACTGTCCCCACCACCACCGTTCCCACCACTGTCCCATCATCCCCACCCCATTGTCCAACTGTCCCGAGGAGCGGGAATCGTTTGCCAGCGGCGAAGGGGGGGGGGGAGGTTCGAACCGGTAGTGACCCCCTCCGGTTTTCGAAGGGGGGGGTCGAACCGACCGGCAGTGACCCCCCCTGGTTTTCGAGGGGGGGGGGTTCGAACCGGTAGTGACCCCCCCCCGTTTTCATGATGGACTGGGGGGGGAGGGGTTCGAACCGGTAGTGACCCCCCCCCCCCGGTTTTCGAAGGGGGGGGGTCGGGTTGGGAACCCCCAGTGACCCCCCCCGGTTTTCCGCCAGCAGCGGTAGAACACGCTTTTTCTGATCCTGTCAGGCGGCCCTCCTGGGGCCCTCTCAGAAGGGAGGGGAACGGGTTGGGAACCCCCAGTGACCCCGCCCCCCGGTTTTCCGCCTGCAGCGGTAGAACACGCTTTTTCTGATCCTGTCAGGCGGCCCTCCTGGGGCCTTCTCAGCGACCGTCTTGGGTGCCAGGATGGCACCCTCCTCCTGCCGACTCGGCAGCGACAGCCGACTCAGCGCCGCCACCACGGGAGCTACTCGGTAGACCTTGGTGGCAGGAAAGTGGGGGCACTTTCCTGCCATTCTCCTGCGCCATCCCGCGGAGCGTGGCACTGTCCCAGCGCTTTCTGCCGCTTCCCTTCGCGCTACCCAAGTACCCATTACTGGGCGCTCGTCTCGGTGGCACTGACCGACCCAGCACGCCTCCTTGCCGGTCCCGCCCCGCCTCCGCCGCTGGCGCTGCTTCCCCCCCGGAACCCCTCCCCCCTTCCCTGCCATTCCCCTCCCGCTGCCCCCCCTCCCTCTCCCTGCCCCGCTGCGCCGATCAGCAGACGCACGCCGCTCTCCGCGGGAGGCCTCCGGGCGCCCCGCCGCGCCTCAGACGAAGCCGAAGCCCAGCGACGCCTCGGCGGAGCAGATCACCCTCAGCCTGTCGATGAGCATGCTGCGCGAGGTGTAGGGTGCGAGGTTGAGCTGGTTGCTGCAGGTGCTCGCCGTCGGCAGCCGCTCCGCCGGCCCCGCGCAGAGGTAGAGGCAGAAGGGCGGCTCGAGCCCACGGAACCCGTCGCCCGGGACGCGCGACGACCCCGTCGCAAACTGCAGGAGCTTGGCACGCCGCTCGGCACCGAAACGCTGCATCACATCCCAGAACCAATCGCACAACAGATTTCCAGCCTCGGTGCCTGCGAGGGGACCGTCTACATTCGTATTGATCATCCAGTCCCCGACATCAATACTCGGCAAGCCCGCCACGAGCAGCTCTAGGTCGTGCCCGCTCAGGTCCTTCTCGCTGCACAAGGAGTCCAGGGGCACCAGGTCCTGAAAACCCTGGCGCAATCCGCGGGCCCAACTGGCCAGAGGCGTGCTGAAATCTCTGGCCGAGTCCGCGCGCGCGCGTGGCGGCCCCTGGGGGTCCTAGGGCGGAAAGCACCACAGGCGGTCCCCGTCACGGCCGCCAGAACTCCCAGGGGCGATCTGCAGGACCCCCACGAGCGCCCCAGAAGCAGCCCCAAGGACCCCAAGGAAGCTCCGACAGAGCACTCGAGTCGGGATCCATGGCAGGCACAAACGTCGCCCGAAGACAGTCCCAGGAGGCTTCAAGCTAGCCCCCGGAACACCCAAGACAGCCCCAAGTGAGCTCCAGGAGGCCAACAAGCATCAAAATTGCTGAAGTGTTTTATCAAGATTTTGGCGTCGCCCCCTCGTCAGTCTTCCCACACGGCCCAAGATGACCCGAAAATCGCTCCAAGGCATCCCCAGATGCACCCAGGCCAGCCCCAAGACAACCCAGGAGGGCCCCAAGATGGCTCCAGAGGCTCCCAAATTGGACCCGAGTGGGGGAACCCAAATTCACATGTCGGGCCCTTCTCCCGAGATGGCCTCCGAGACTGCCCAAGAGGCCCCCAAGAGGCCCCCCAGAGGCCCCACAGACCTCCCCGAGAGGCCCCAAGAGGCTCCCAGGAGTCCCCCAGGAGGCCCCAGGGGGCTCCCAAAAGGCCCCCGCGAGCACGCCGGCGAGCGCCAACGGTGCTGCCATGTGGGCCAGCGGACTGCGCGAAGCGATGGAACAGCTGCCACTCGCGCTGGACCTGGCCGCAGACGTTCGGGGGCTGCTAAGGGTGCCCCTGGCCCAAGGTGCCCCCCTAGCTTGTGGCTCAAGTTTGGAGATTCTCGGGGGGGGCCCTGACCCTCGCGAGGGGTGCTCTGGAGGCCGCGGGGGCCTCCTTGGAAATCCTGGGGAAAAAACCCATCTCAGCCAGCGTTGGCTCCAAATAGATAGGAGGACAGGAGGAGGACGAGAGGAGGATGGGAGGAGGACGAAAGGAGGACGGGGGCAGGACGGGAGGAGCAAACTCAAGCGAGCGCAAGCAAGCGGAAGCAAGCGAGCGCAAGCGAGCATAGGCGTAGGCATAGGCACAGGCATAGGCATGGGCATAGGCATAGGCATAGGCATAGGCATAGGCATAGGCATAGGCATAGGCATAGGCATAGGCATAGGCATAGGCATAGGCATAGGCACAGGCACAGGCACAGGCATAGGCATAGGCATAGGCATAGGCATAGGCGTAGGCATAGGAGTTAGGGGGAGACATAGGCATAGGCATAGGCATGGCCATAGGATGTAGGGTGGCGCATAGGAATTAGGGGGGGAGGGGGCAACGGACCAATTAGTAGGGTTTGAGTTAGAGCTCCTGTAGGGCAAGCCTATTTGGAGAATAAACATAAACTTGGCGCTCCGCGCGGATTTCTTGGATCCGCGCCAGACCCCCCTCCCTGGCGCGCGGAGCGCGCCAGTGGCGGCGCCGTAGGCGCCGCTTCGGGGGCCCAGCGCGGATCCAAGAAATCCTCGCAGAGCGCCACAAATTTACATGTATGTGCTTTTGTTATTCTTCGAACCTTGGGCCAGGGACACGTCTAGCAACACCCGAGATGTGGAACTCGCACAGCCTCTGGACGTACTCCAGCTTGTTTTAAGTCGGGCATATCCCCCCACAGGCGGACGTTGAAGGAAAAATAAAAAATACCCCAACACAGTCAACAAAAAAAAACGTCGCTAAAATTGTCGAAGAATCGTCCCCAGACTATTTTCAAACTATTTTCGAAGACTCCTCCTGCAGAGGGAAGGGCCCGACTTAAAGCTTGTTGTCCTCCGTCACGAGGCGGAGCAGCCCACCGGGCACCAGCTCCACCTCCTCGGCGCACAGCGGGCCGGGCGCCGAGGCGAAGCGCAGGGGCTCGCCGAGGATCGCGGCCATCTCCTCCACGCCTCCAGGTCTCAGGACCTGGGGGGGGAGAACTGACCCTCTTCCCCCTCCTCCTCCTCCTCCCTCCTCCTCCTCCTCCTGCTCCTCCTCCTCCTCCCCCTCCTCCTCCTCCTCCTCCTCCTGCTCTTCCTCCTCCTCTTCCTCCTCCTCCTCCTCCTCTTCCTCCTCCTCTTCCTCCTCCTCCTCCTCCTCCTCCTCCACGCCTCCAGGTCTCAGGACCTGGGGAGAGAAATTGACATGGTTGGGTGTGAATCGGCCCCTGACCCCCAAAAAAACAGGACTGCCCATGTATTATGGATACAAGCTGACGACTCTCGGCCGCTGTATGGCCACTGATGAGCCACGTCTGCATCACAGAGAGGGGTGTGGGTGGGGAGGTAAACCTTGCCCCGATGAGTGGCCGCCGCGATCGCCGCGGCGACCTCCCAAACCGACCTGGAGGTTTCGGTCGGGATCGGACCTCACGCAACGGAAAAACTTGCATAAGCATAAGCGTTCGGAGATCCGAAAATGTACGTCTCTCGCGCTCTGTCTTCCTCGAGGACCGCAGCGACGCGGTTTCTGAAGAAGTGCGGGTCCGCCGACTCGATGTCGGACGCCGCGATGGGCTGGCCCAGCAGCAGCTTCCAGCTCAGGGAGCTGAAGTTCGAGCAGGGGATCGAGTACAGAATTGGTTTATCCCAAGATTGATGTGCCCGTCGACTCTAAAATTCAATGAAACATCCGGTGATCTAAGGAGCATTGTATACACATGTATGTGTGTATATAAAAGTCGTCATAAAATAAATTGTGGGATCAATCAATTATGCACTCGATCCCCTACTCGAGAAGTGCATCGGCAGCTGGACGCAGTGGAGCAGGGCGAGCGCCATGAACGGAGGCCGGAAGCCGCTAAGGGCCACCAGCCTTGGCCATTCGAAGGGCCCTGGACACCTGCTCCTCCTCCTCCTCCTCCTCCTCCTCCTCCTCCTCCTCCTCCTCCTCCTCCTCCTCCTCCTCCTCCTCCTCCCCCAGGAGGCCCCGGAAAGGTCGCCCAGAAGGTCTTGTGTCCAGACCTCCCGGGCCCTTGGAGGCCCACGGTAGGGCGAGAACGATGCCATGGTACGACTGACTCGGGGATCTGCTCCAGGAATTGTATGAGGGGGAACTGGGACACACAAATAAATACACACAAATAAAAACATCACCCATATTTTCCCATATTTTCGCGTATTTTCCGGGGGATCGACGATTCATTGTGTCTGTGTGTTTCTTCCCCTCCTGATTGTAGAGCGTCTGGCGGCTGTCGCTTCCGGATCCCGTGCGGCACAGCAGGAGGTCCTGTCGACCTGGACCTGCTGGGGCAGCCCACCATCACGAGCCCACGCTCCTCCGAAGCGGGAGCCACGTGCAGGCCAGAGGGCCCCCAGAGCGGGGCCAGTCGGGGCTGGTTGGCGACCCGACTCTCCCACGACACCGCTGTGGTCAGACAGGGGGGGCGGCTGACCCATGGCAGTGCGTTGCTGTGCGAGGCGCCGACGGCGCCCTGCAAAGCACAACCACAGGTCAACCGCCCCTGGTTCGTAAGAGTGGCACTGCAACATGTGCACAGGTACGCATACGAGAATTTTACCGGCTCGCTTCGCTTCGCCTCCAAAGTCTTGGTCGCATGGCGCAGGCGGGGCGCGCCACGACTGGTAGTCGCCAGCACCGCGGCGTGTTCCGGCAATGGGGCCCATCGGGCACTCAGGGCTGATGGGGCCCATGGGCTCCTCTGGGTCAGAAGTCTGTAGTATGCATGTATGCATGCATGTATGTATGGATGTATGGATGTATGGATGTATGGATGTATGGATGTATGGATGTATGGATGTATGTATATATGAATGTGTGTATGTGTATGTGTATGTGTGAATGTGTATGTGTGCATGTTTGTTTGTGTGTATGTTCGTATGTGTGTATGCATGCATGTATGCATTTATGTATGTGTGTACGTATGTATGTGTGTATGTGTGTATGTGTGTATGTATGTGTGTATGTGTGTATGTATGTGTGTAATGTATGAGATTGTTTGTATGTATGTGTACGTATGTATGTATGTATGCATGTTTGTACGTACGTATGCATGTATGTGTGCATGCATGCGTGCATGTATGATGTATGTATGTATGTATGTATGTATGTATGTATGTATGTATGTATGTATGTATGTATGTATGTATGTGTGTATGTATGTATGTGTGTAGATGTATGTATGTGTGCATGTGTGTATGTATGTATGTATGTATGTATGTATGTATGTATGTATGTATGTATGTATGTATGTATGTATGTTTGTATGTATGTTTGTATGTATGTATGTGTGTATGTGTGTATGTGTGTATGTGTGTATGTGTGTATGTGTAGGTGTAGGTGTAGGTGTAGGTGTATGTGTATGTGTATGTGTATGTGTATGTGTATGTGTATGTGTATGTGTATGTGTATGTGTATGTGTATGTGTATGTGTATGTTTGTGCGTATGTATGCATGTATGTATGTGTGTACGCATGTATACATGTATGTACGTATATATGTGTCGGAATATAAATGGTTGAATGTATGTATGTGTATACATCTGTACATACACCTCCACGACTGGTGGCCGTGTCACGGTTGCTGGCCTTCGGCATCAGCCTGCCGAGGCTGAAGAAGTCGTCCCACCGCTCGGACCCTGGGCGCAGCGTCAGCGTGCAGTCCTCGGGGTGCGGCACCAGCAGCGGGCGCGGCCTCCCCGCGTCCTGCAGCGGCGCCGCCGCGTCCTCCAGGAGCGCGCGGCCGACGCCGGAGGGACAAGAGGACGACACAAGCACAGCTGGGCGGCCACAGGTGACAGGGCTGGACCTACACGTTCTGCCTCGTATTGGTTTCGCGTTGTTGTTCGATCTGCTCTGCCTGCTTTCCTGTACCTCCCTGCCAAGACGAAAAACAGAACACTGCCGAAGTCCAGCAAAACAGCGCTTAGGTCCAGCCCTGACATGTGAGCCCTACCCCCACGCCCCGCGGTTTCCAAGAGGGGTTGGGGGCTCACTCCGCTCGGGAGCTCCCGAGCGAAGTGACCGCCCCCCCCCCCCCGAGAACTCGGGGGGAGGTGGGGGAAGGGCTCACATGTGGCTACCGACCAGCCTCTCGGGGGCCCGCTGCGCAGATCTCGTGGGGCGGCGCTCGAATTAGGTCGGGCATGTCCTCCTACAGGCGGATTCGGGGAGAAAAACTAAGCATCTTCATTGCATATATATAAAAATATATGTACATGCATATACATATCTATGCATGTATATGTGTGAGAATGTGCATGTAGTTACTATCGTATATATATAACACAACAACCAAACAAAACGAATCAATGCACAACAACAACAACAACAACAACAACAACAACAACAACAACAACAACAACAACAACGACAACAACAACAACAACAACCACAACAACAACAGCAAAAACAACAACCACAACAACAACAACAATAACAACAACAACCACCACAACCACAACAACAACAACAACAACAACAGCAAAACAAAAGAGCACGACAACTCGTCACCACACCCTTTATGTCAACGGTTCTTGAGAATACTCCTCCTGTAGAGGCTCCTGACACCCTCCTCCTCCTCGTGCGGCTCCTCTCCCTCTGCTCCTCCTGCTTCTCCTCCCTCTGCCTCGCCGTGGTCGACGTCCTCACCTTCAGGGTCGGCGGCACCGGCCGCAAGGCCTTCTCGGGAGCGGCCAAGAGGGGGGTGTCCAAGAGGGGGGGGTGCAAATCATGACCGGCGGCATGTGCGCGGCCCAGCGGGGGGGCCAGGGACGTCATAGAGTGAGAAGCGGCGCCACGAAATCTGAGGAAATATCATGGCCCTCGCCATGATGTCCACCCCCCTAGTCATAACCCCCCTCTTCGCCGCCCCCGACCTTGGAGCCCCAGAACCCCCGAAAATCCCCCGAGTTGGAATGTTTTCGGGACCCCCCCCCGAGGAAACACCCGAAAAACGACCGAACAGCTCCCGAGCTGGAGGGGTTTTCAGGGGTTTCCTCCCCCCGCCCCCGACCTTCGCATGACTCCTCCCGCAAAGGGACGCGCCCGACCCCACCCGCTCCGAGCCGAGGCCCGGGCCCGCGGCGCGGGCCTCGGCGGCCTCGGGGCTCGCAGCCTCTCGCGGGCCCTCGGCCTCGACGCCCTCGGCCTCGACGCCCTCGGCCTCGACGCCCTCGGCCTCGACGCCCTCGGCCTCGGCCTCGCGCCCTCGGCCTCGCGCCCTCGGCCTCGGCGCCCTCGGACCCTCGCGGGCCCTCGGCCTCGCGCCCTCGGCCTCGGCGCCCCTCCCTGGCGCGTGGCGCACGCTGGGGGCGGCGCCCGAGGCCGGCGGCCTCCTGGACTGCCTGCCTGCCAGACCGCCCCAGCCCGACCCCCGAAGACCCGAACATTGGATCCCAAGTTCGGGTTGGGGGGGGGGTACGGGGCTTCGTGTGTGTGTTTCTCCACCTCCTCCACCTCCTCCTCCTCCTCCTCCTCCACCTCCTCCTCCTCCTCCTCCTCCCCTTCCCCCTCCTCCTCCTCCTCCTCCTCCTCCTCAACCGTCCCTCGTCGCCGCGGCTGGAGATCGGCACGCGGGTGCGCCGTCCTATGCAGGTGGAGCGCGCGCCGCAGCCCGGTCCACCCCCCCCACACACTGGAAGTGGAGGGCAAACTGAGGCCTTCGGGTTGGGTTGGAGTGGCTTGCTGGGCGGTGACAGATGGGCTCCGAGCAGGTCGGGTCGACGCATCGCGCCGCGTCGGCGATGCACCGCCGATGCATCGGCGATGCATCGGCGATGCATGGGCGACGTCGGCGATGCATCGGCGACGTCGGCGAGCCGCATCGTCGATGCATCGGCGATGCGGCGCGATCCTCCGACCCCATCTACTCGGAACCCATCTAGGAGGCCTAATTAGACTGAGGCGCCGCAAGGGGGGCCGCAGCGCAGGTCCAAGAGACCCTCACGGACCTTTCCGAGAGTCTGTGCCTGTGCCCTGAGATCCGACGTTGCGAGAAGAGCTGCCGCATCGCGAGAACTCGCGACCGGAGCCCTGGACCTCGTCTTCCTGCGGCATGTCGCGACCCTGATCGATCTGTGATGGCGCCAGGGCCAGGGACAGGGCAAGTGCCCGGTGTCACAAAAAGGCCACGCCTGGATCTCAGTGTGCGCCGCTTTGCCCATCCCCAGGATGCTGTCGAACCAGTCCCTGAGGAGGCCGCCAGCGTCCTCCCCGAGCTCGGCCCGGAACGAGACCTGGAGGTGCAGCGCCAGCAGGTCCTCTCGGGGGGCCTGCTGCACTGCGCGGAAGGTGGAGGGCAGCAGGTCCGCCCGGTCGATCTCGAGAAGAAAAGAGTCCCTGCGCCTCTGCAGGAAAACAAACAACTGCGTAAGCATCAACTTTCGGATCCCCGCGCGGATTTCTCACATCGCCGCTGAGGCCCCCTGGCGGCGCCTCTGGCGTCGCCCCTGGCGAGCTCCGCGCTCCATGGAGGGGGTCCAGCGCCGATCTAAGAAATCCGTGCGAACCTCCACGGGTTTGCTTATGCCGTTTCACCTCCTTCAGGCCTCGGGTGCAGGCTCTCGAGCTTGAGCATCAGGCTGTCGTACTTCTGACCCAGCAGCCGTCGCTGCGTGCCGAGCGACAGTGTCCTCTGGATCGCGAAGGAGAGTTTCCTCGCCAGAGGCGCGCGGAGGGACGTGTGCACCAGGCTCGAGAAGCCATCCTCGATGAAGGCCGGGTGGAGGCCGTCCATGTCCAGCGCCTTCTGCGGCAACTCATGGGAGCCTCCCATACAACTTTCTTGGCTCTCACGAAGCGACGCATCAACGCTAACCGACGCTAATCGACGCTATGTCGACACTAATCGACGCCAATCGACGCTAAATCGGCGCCATCTCGACGCGAGTACGTTCTAAAGACGGGCGTGCGAAGGTATATAAGGCTCCCATGATTTGCTACCGAAAGCGCCCTCTGCACTCGCTCGCAGAAGTCCCGCCTCGTCTCGTGCAGCACGTAGATGTGCTGCAGGCGCTTCGCACCGTGGGACGCCACGACCATAAAGTCAAACGCCATGAGAGCGACGAACGATCGGCTGCCGCTCAGGTACAAGCAGACTACCGAGGCTGCGAGGAATCGCCAGGGTATCTCGGCATCGTCGGAGGCCTGCGCCTTGCTCACGAAGAGGCCAGAGGAGATCACGCCGATCGGAGTGAGGACGCACGATGAGATCGCCTTGAAACTGGGAGGGGAGATCACGCAGTACCAACAGGCTGCGACGGCAGCAAGGGCCCCGGCCGCCCAGTGCGGCCTGGCACTCAGGTACCGGCAGACGCCGCCGTGGGCGGCGACCTGCGCCACGCGCAGAGGAAGGAACAACGGCACCAGCACATGAACCGACGGAGGTCCGCGCGGATCTCTCGGATCGGCGCTGGACCCCCCTCGCTGGCGCGCGGAGCGCACCGGGGGCGGCGCCAGGGGCGCCGCCGTGGGAGGGGGGTCCAGCGCCGGTCCGAGAAATCCGCACGGCCCTCCGAAGATTTATGCCCGTGCCGTGTTCTCCTCCTTCGGATGTGGGGCACGTGCGCGTGGTGCGCTCCGCCGCTGGCTCCGCCCGCCTGCGAGCATCGCTCCACCCATCCCTATCCCCACCGGCGCGGCCTGGGCCGCGCTGGCCGGTTCACCCCCCTGGATGGAATACAGGCGGTTCCCTTCGGATTTCGAGGGGCCTACCCCCAAGTGGGGTGGTGGGATGGTGGGGCCGGGATGCCATGGCACAGTGGGGATGGGGACAGGTTCGCAGACCCCCGACGTCATGGTTTTGTTCATAACGTCGACCCCCAAAGGTATCGACCCATTCCCGAGGACCAGTTTGTCGTCCAGAGTCGTCTGTGGAGGGTCCCGATGTCTATGAAGGGCCCCCAGAAGCTTCAAAGAGCATAGCGAAAACACTCCCTCCGTGATCTCATCATGACTCGAGCCTGATAGTGCGAGGCCAAGTCTTCTACACCACCACCGCCCGCAACAACAAATCATCGCAGAAATGGTTGGAGGCAGGGTCATGCCAGACGACGCTGCGACCCCGTGGAGAACCAGAGCGCGGCGCGGCGCGCGGGCGCCGTGGTTGGGAGCTCCTGAAGCAGAAACAGCACGTCTTGGTGGTGGTGGTGTATAAAATCTGGTCCTCTTCGCAACCAAAGCTAGATTCACCACCGCGCGTGTTTTGATGAATTATGTTTCGGTCCTTGTGAGAAGCGGAGGGCAGCCCGGTTGCCGTTGGCGGCGGGACGGGGGCTGCGGGTTTTCCACCAGAGCAAAACTGCGCCACATCGGATCGTGGATGCTTGACAATCTTGGCGGCCATGGTCATATATTGTTTTCGGGGGGAGATTTAGGTCGGACATGTCCTTCTACAGGCGGATTTTGTGTATCATATATATATATATACATGTACATACCTATATATATATATATATGTATATATAACATATGATATAAAAATACATACATGTGTATATATATATATATATATATATATATATATATATATGTGTATCCCTCGTGGCTCGGCAAGGTGCAGCG